CGCTGGATCCGGGGGACGAATCCCCAACCGGCGCCCTCGCCTGAGACATCCCCGCAAAACCGGCCCCGGGGGAGGTGCCCAGAGGAGCCCAGAGCGGCCTCCGGCACCGTTTCCGGACAGATCCGGTGGATCCGCTGGATCTGGGGACGAATCCCAAACCGGCGCCCTCGCTTGAGACATCCTCACAAAACCGGCCCCGGGGGAGGTGCCCAGAGGAGCCCAGAGCGGCCTCCGGCACCGTTTCCGGACAGATCCGGACAGATCCGGTGGATCCGCGCCCCGGGGGAGGTGCCCAGAGGAGGAATGAGGAGGAGGAGGAGGAGGAGGAGGAGGAGGAGGAGGAGGAGGAGGAGGAGGAGGAGGAGAAGATGATGGAGCTGCGGGGTGGAGGAGGACAGACGGAGGCAAGAGAAGGATGGAGGAGGAGGAGGAGGAGGAGGAGGAGGAGGAGGAGGAGGAGGAGGAGGAGGAACCTCATCCTCACCCTCGCCAACAGGCGCACGCACCTTCTTCTATATACAGAAACTCCCGATCAACCGCAGAGCGGCCGGCTAGTAGCCAGCTTCGACCTCAAACAGTGTGTTTGTTGTAACACATGTGGTGGAACCTATGTGAAAGAGTTTATGTGGTGCAGTCCATGTGGAACAATCATTGTGGTGCAGAATATGTGGTGCAACTTGTGTTGCGTATTCTACGATGTGCAATTTACGATGCGTAGTGTATGTCGTGTAGTGTACATCGTGTACTCCGTGTGGTGCAATATATGTAATACAGTCTACGTGGTGTACTCTTTGTGGAACAATGTCGGTGATTCAATATGTGCGGTACAGTAGATGTGGTGCAATCGCAGTGAGTGATCAACTCCACTGTTCGCGCAATCGTCCCACCAACCCCCCCGCAACTTGGTTTGCTGAACCCGTGCGGCGGCGATTGCGATGTCAGCTAGGCGTTGGCTGGCGCATCGCTGCGGCCGCGCTAACGCGCGCAGGCTCGTGCGCAGAGCGGCCAGCTAGTCTGTCGCGACCGACACGGCCATGTTGTCGGTGATTTGAGCAGGCGCGGTCTCATGGCGACGTCGACATTGGCAAACACGATGATGATTGTAGCGATGTTGGTGACGACGATATCGATGACGACGGCAAGGCCAGTGACGGCGCCGATGGTGATTACGCCGATGACGATGATGTTGTCCACGTGTCTGTGACGAAAGTTGTGAACGATTTCCACATGCGCGTGTGGCCAATTGGCGCGAGCGGCAAGCATGATATTTCTGTGTCAATGGTCGTGCCATCTTCTGTGCGCGCAAGGGCGTTGCAATGACTTCGACATGCGCGCGCGAGGCGCACGTATGTTCGAATTGGATGAAAATGTTGGAAACAGAAAAGCTAGTAACAACGTGTGCGCGTATAAGTTTATTGAAACATCGTGTTGCGAAACTATTGTGTGTTTCAGTTTTTTTTTCAGTTTCGGGACACGATTTGACAACTGAGACTGACATCCTTGCGGGATCGCACGTTTCCGAAGGACTCGTGCGCGCGCGACAACGCACGCGTGTACACTTCCTTTTTTCCCTTTTCTCTCTTGCTTCCTTCCCCACCGGATTTGTGCAGATGGATGATTTTTGTTACGGGTTGATACTGGCCGGAATGGGGTGGTATGGATTCATATTTGAGGTGGGCGGTGGGGCTGAATCGTGTCAAAATTGCAAATCCCTGGGGTGGGGGTCAGTCGGGCCTCGGGAGGGTGGTGTTTCTGATCGCTTGTTTAAGAAACTACAACATAGTTGGACCAATACTTCATGCGGCCCAATGTATGTGGTGCAACCCATGTGGTGCAATTGGTGCTGTGCAATATGTGCGGTGCAATATTGTTGGAACAAGTCCTGCGGTGGTGCGATCTGGGTGGGGCAATCCATTTGATGCAATTTATGCTGTGCAGTACAGGTGGTGCAATAATTGTGGCGCAGTTTATGTGGTGCAATATATGTGGTTGTGCAATATCGGTTGTGCACTTGATGCGGTGCAAGGTATGTTGTGCAATATCTGTGGTGCAGTCTATGTTGCGAGGGATGAAAAAGCGCGCCGCAGGCGCGATTTTTTGCCGTGCGATCTATGTAATCCAAAGGCGGCGACAGGCGGCGACGAGGCGGCGACCGGGCGGCGACGGCGGCCACATAGCCGCCAGACTGAAAACACTGCCCAGACGACGGGCGGCACGAGGCGGTGCCGGGGCGGCGACGGCGGCCACATGACATAGCCGCCAAACCGAAGAAGGCACTGCCCAGTTCCTCAAAAGAGAAGTAAGACACCCTAGGTGCAAGCAGTGGGGAAATTATTGTTGATACCCCCCCTGGCGCACCTTGCGTTTTTCAACTAAGTGCTTTTCCTGGGGCTCGCTCCCTGTGCTTTACAAGGGAGAGCCTTGAGCTTCAGACTGGGCCCCTGACCCCGGGTTTGCAGCAACACCGGCTCCCTCCCGCCTGATATTTACTCATCACGATCCATTCAAAATCGCGCTTTCGCGCGGGACGCTCGCACAAGTCATGCAGGAATCGTGCTCTCGTGCGGCAATCCCTCCCAATTCACGAGACACCGCGATGCAAAGACTCAGAGATCGTGCTCCCTTTCTCTGGACTTCCTGAAGCCCTACCCGCGCATCGCGCCTCCTCTCGCGAGCGATGCAGGCCTGAAGCTGGAGCGATCCGCCCGGTCGCCTCGGCCGTCCGGGCCCGCCCGCCCGCCCCCGCCCGTCGGGGTCCGCCCGCGCGGCCCGCCCGTCTGGCTCTGTCGCTCCTTTTCGTGTTCCCCCCCTGCTAATCTCCCTCGTGCTCCTCCTCCGCCTCCTCCTCCTGCTCCCCCTCCTGCTCCCCCCTCCTGCTCGCTGCTCCGCCCTTCCCTCCATACCCTTGTTCTTTATCTCCTCCTCCTTCTGCTCTCCACCGTGTCCGTATCAGGGGCTGCGTCAACCACACGTGGCAGGTAAGATGGACCACCATAGGGGGGTGCGATTGAAAGTGAGGAGGGGGGGCATCGAGGGTTTGGGATTCACATGTGGAAGGAAACGCCAGCAAACTGGAACGAACAGTGTGAACATGATTGCTGTGCGGTGTGCTTCGTGCCACGCTTCGTCGCGCCAATGTGTGGTGGGGCCCCGGTGCTGCGTGCAGCAACCACCACGACGGCGCGGGCGTGCAACCACCACCACGCCTGTTGACGAAGGCCTCCACGATCTGAGCTTGCCCCCCTGACCTCTCCTCCCCTCTGCGGCCGCCCTGTCCCTCCCTCCTCGTGCCTCCCTGCCGTGCACGATGCTCTCTGCCCAGCGCGCCTGGGCCGCTCGACCGATCCCCGTGCGCTCGCCGGGTGCGCGCGTGTGACCACCACCACCACGGCACCGACGGCGGCGGCGGCGGCGGCGACGACGGACGACCGCCGACGAGCACCGCGATGCGCTGGCAGCCAGGCCCCGCGGCGACGGACGCCCAGCAGCGGAAGGCCATGCGGCGGCGCCGCCCACCTTTGCTGCGCGGCTTCGGCGGCGGCGCGCGGCGTCTCGGCGGCGGCGTTGGCCTGCCTCCGCCTCGTCGGCGGCGGTCTCTGCGGTCTCTGCGGGCTCGTCGTCCTCCTGGGTGGTGGTGATGTGCGTGGATCCCTCCCTCCTCCCTCCTCCCGCCTCCCTTCTCCCTCCCTCCCTCCTCCCTTCTCCCTCCTCCTTTTCCTCCTTTTCGTCCTTCTCTTCCATCCTCGTCCTCTCTCTCCTCAATTCACTCCTCCATCCTCCTCTCCCTCCCCGTTCTTCTTCTCCTCTTCCTCCTCGCCCTCCCCCTCCTCCTCTCCTCCTCCTCCTCCTCCTCCTCCTCCTCCTCTTCCTCCCCCTCCTGCCCCTCCTCCTCCTCAAAGGGGTGGTTGGCCACAGCGGGTTCGTTTGAGCTCCAGGCTCGAGCGGTAGCATTGTGATAGATAGCAGCACGTGTAACATGACAGACAAGGCGTGTTGAGGGTGCCATCAATGGTGCTATCAATGGGTGTCGAGTGGCCACTCTCCGCGCCCGCTCTACAGTCTTCCCAGACATCGCTTTACAACGTTCTACGGAACAGCATCGCTTTCTCCGCACCGCTTTTCCTTCTAGTTTCTTTATGCTCGGCAAAAATCAGCGGCGGGGCTGTTGCGTTCTTCCCCCCCCGTCGTCGTCCTCCTCCTCCTCCTTCTCCTCTTCTTCCTCCTCCTCCTCCTCCGCCTCCTCCTCCTTCTTTTCCTCCTCCCCCTCCTCCTCCTCCTCCTCCTCCTCCTCCTCCTCCTCCTCCTTTTCCTCCCCCTGGCGCGGCGGCGCTGCCGCGCGGGGGGTGGCCAGAGCCCGCCCCCCGGTGAAGGTCTTCGTCGGCGGCGTCCCGCAGGACTACGACGACTTGGAGGGCCGCCCGCCCCCCGCCGCTGCTGCCTGCCTCGGGCGGCTCAGCACCTCCTCCTCCCTCCTTCCTCCCTCCTCCCTCCTCCTGGGCTGCCGAGCTTATGAGTTTGTGCACCCCCCGGCTGAGGGGGCATTGACCCCACTTCCGAGGACAGCCGTACCGTACCTCCCTCCTCCCACCACCCACCACCACCTCCTCCTCCATCATCATCCTCCTCCTCCTCCTCCTCCTTCTCCTCCTCCTCTCCTTCTCCTCCTCCTCCTCCTCCTCCTCCTCCTCCCCTCGTCGTCGTCCTCCTCCTCCTCCTCCTCTTCCTCCTCCTCCTCCTCCTCCTCCTCCTCCTCCTCCTCGGGAGGGGGGGTCCATCGACGCTCGACCTGAACGTGGCTGCTCTCAGGCTTCTGCTCGCTTCTCGACCCTCGACCCGAACCTCGCCCTCGCTTGCCCGCTTGCAAGTTTAACTCGACCTTCCGCACCTTCCGCGCGGCAGGTGCCGCCGCAATGCGGCCTCGGCGGCCAAAGCGGCCGCCGCTGCGACCTCGACGGTGGCCGCCGCTGCGGCCGCGGCGGCGGCCGCGGAAGCGCAGCACCTGCTTCGAAGTCGCGGAAGGTGCAGGTCGAGGGGAGGGATAAGGGGGTCCTTCAGGAAGGGGGCTCTCGAGGAGGAGAAGGAGGAGGAGGAGGGGGAGGAGGAAAAGGATGATGATGATGACGATGATGATGATGATGATGATGATAATGATGATGATGATGATGATGATGATGATGATGATGATGATGATGATGATGATGATGATGGTATGATGGTGAAGGTGATAGGTGATGGTGTGGTGAAGTGATGATGATGATGATGATGATGGTGGTGATGATGATGATGATGAGGATGATGATGATGATGATGATGATGATGATGATGATGATGATGATGATGATGATGATGATGATGATGATGATGATGATGGATGGTGAGGAGGAGGAGGAGGAGGAGGAGGAGGAGGAGGAGGAGGAGGAGGCGGATGAGGAGGATGAGGAGGAGGTGGCGGAGGAGGAGGAGGAGGAGGCGGAGGAGGAGGAGGAGGAGGATGCCGAGGAGGCGGAGGAGGAGGAGGTGGAGAAGGAGGCGGAGGAGGAGGAAAAGCAGGAGGAGGAGTTTGTCGACGTTCTCCTCCGCTCTTGGCTCCTGGGGGCCCGTCCACGTGCCCGGGCCCTTCTACAGGAAGGCCCAGGGTGAGGAGCCGGATCCTTTGGGAAAGGCGCGCTGCCCATGGCCAGTTTCCGCCAGGGAACCACCTCCTTTGTGCCCGGCTTCCACGAGACGCAGGGTTGCTCAGGCGGTGAGGTGTCACCCGCAGCAGCGAGTGCGAGAGAGGGCCCCTATGAGAGTAAGAGCTTGTCTGTGCGGAACATTCAGAGTGCGAGGAATGTGCCGCCAGCGTGGTCCCCTTGGATGTTGACTCACCGTCTGTGTTCCTTAAATGTTTGGGCCCGTTTGCACGGTGTACCTTGAATGCTTTTGCTCGTTCGTGGGCGCGCCTCCAGGGGCGCCTCCGTGGGCCGCGGCTGGTGCGCCCCAGGAGAGGCCCAGGGAGCGCGGAAGGTCAATACCCGCGGCGCCACGAACAAAACATCCTGAGGGCCTGGTGGCTTCTCCTCGCCTCTCAGCTGGGGGCCCGTCTCGCGCCCCATAAATCCAGCGCTGGCGCTGTGACTTTTTTCCCCAGCCATCCTGTGGTGTTGGGCCCTCGTTTTAAGAGACAGCGCCCCGCGTCTCCTCCTCTCCTCCTCTCCTCCTCCCTCCTCCCATCCCTTGCCTCTGCTCTCCGCATGCCCATCCCATTCTGGCACACCCCTCACACGGTTCGTGGCCCCACAGGGAGCTCTACCGAATGCCCCAGCGGCAGGGTCCGCATGCGGGGACCGCCACCCATTCTGGCACATCTCACACGGTTCGTGGCCCCACAGGGAGCTCTACCGAATGCCCCAGCGGCAGGGTCCGCATGCGGGGACCGCCACCCATTTTGGCACATCTCACACGGTTCTTGGCCCCACAGGAAGCTCCACCGAAGGCCCCAGCGGCAGGGTCCGCATGCGGGCACCGCCACCCATTTGGGCACACCCCTCACCAGGATCGTGGCCCCACAGGAAGCTCCACCGAAAGCTCCAGCGGCAGAGTCAGTCCGCATGCGGGGACCGCCACTCATGTCGGCACACCCCTCACGCGCTTCGTGGCCCCACAGGGAGTTCCACCGAAGGCCCCATCGACAGGGTCAGCATGCGTCAAGGCCACCCATTTCGGCACACCCCTCACGAGGATCGTGGCCCCACAGGGAGCTCCACCGAAAGCGGTACCCACAACGCGGTATTCACAATTGCTCATGGTTGGGTCTTTCGCCAGGATAGTTTTCACGGGGCCGATCCCTGGAGGTCTGGACCCCTTTCCCAGAGGACCCGTTTTTTATCCCGCGTCGTTTTTCGGGCAACGGATCTTCGTGTTTTTGTCTCGCAGCGCGAGGGTGTCTGGGGCTCTGGGGTAGCAGCAAGGATAATCGGGGACCAGGAACCAGTTGCCAGGAATCAGCCACACGCAGCGGGGTGTGGGGGGAGGGGGGAGGGCTTCTTAGAGTCACTCCTGCATCCAGCCTGGCCTACAGACACGTCTGGTTGCCCGACATGGACATGGGTGAGGTATTCACAAGGAAGAGGGATTGAGGAGGATGAGGAGGATGGGGAGGAGGGGGAGTGGAAGGGCTGTGGCCACGAGGGTGGCCCAGGAGGTCCAAACATGGCCACACAGTGTTTTCCAACCGTCGATTCTCTATCCTCCGTGCCTATTTGGGCAGTGTCTCCTCGATCCTCCTCGATCCTCGCTCTCGATCCTTCTCGATCCTCGATCCTTCTCGATCCTCGATCCTCGGTCCTCCTAGACCAGCTTCGACGCAATCCAACCCTTTATGCCCCCCCCCCGCAGCAAGCCGCTCCTTTTTTGTCTCCGGATTCGCTCCTTCTCCTGGCTCCTGGTGCTAGCTTTCGCCCAAACCAGCGGCTCCTTAGGCTCGAGCCTCGATCCGCCTTAGATCCGTATTCTACCTGC